CACACGGGAGGCGCCTGGGCAAAAGCTGGGAGCTAGCCAATACAGACAGGTATTTCCAGTCCAGCGAGAGGAAATGGGTGGGGGTGGGGATAAAGATAGGAGATCAGATGGGTCCGGGACTTGGGTGGATCCCCAGGGAGGGGGCGGGGAATCGTGCTCTCCACCAGGTGCTCCTGCCCCTGGCTCAGATTTCAACCTTCGATGCCTCCTTTGTGGCACGCTTGTTCGGAAAGAGGAGAAGGCCACAGGTAAGTTATAAAGGAAGGAGGGCATGCAAGCATCCTGCAAAGGGGGTAGGCTCCTGCGGCTCTTGGTCCACCGGTCTGTCTGACCCAGTCGCCCCTCTGACTCGAGGCGGGAAGCGGCGATCAGCCTTCCCACGCTTAGTTGTACAGAGCTCCACGAGGGGGCGACTGGAGCCCACGTGCGACCGCGTCCTTCTGTCTCTAAACTACAACTCCCAGGAGGCGCGGGGGTCCCGCCCGCCTTGCCCGGCCTCTGTTGGCTCCAATTGGACGCCGCGGGAGGGGGATTGGCGGTCTCCAGGGCGACGGGAGGCGCTCGGGGCATCTGAGGCGGGGAGGCGGGTCCGCCCCCTATTGTGTGGCTGCGAGAGCAGAGCTGTGCGGTGCAGAGCAGGTGAGGGTGGGGGTGTCCTGGGGCGTAGAAATGGGGTGCTGGCGGGGACATGGGGAGCAGTGAGGAGTTCTGGGGACCAAGGGGGAGCGGGAGAGCTTCAGAGAGAAGTGAAATTATCCGGGGAAGCAGAACCAGGGTAGTTCTGGGAGCGAAGTGGAATTATTGATGGGTGAGTGGGGCTTCCCAGAGATCTGGAAGAGTGTAGGAGGTAATACAGGGGAGTTCTTGGCGGGTTCCAAAAGGAAGGCGCTCCAGGAGCCAGAGAATGCGAGGGAAAAGAGAATTGTTGTTGTGGTAGACCATGAGAAGTGTATTGTGGGCTGCGTCCTGGAGGATTGGGGGGTGGGGGATTCCCGGGAGAGCAGGGTGGGGAAAGGGGGGGAGGGCAAGTGGGAATTCTGGAGGAGGCCAGCCAGGGGTGCTTCGAAGCGAGGACCTGCTGTAATTGGAGATCAGGTGTGAGAAACTGGAATTTTGCAGACACTGTGAAAAGTGTATGGCTGGGATGGGAGTCCTGGAAGAAATGAAGGAGTGCTGGATGGGGAGGTGCAAAGGACGGAGGATGGATGGGGAGTAGGAGCTGGAAAGGTTCCAGGAAAAGTAGGATAAATTCTGAGGATGCCTTGGCCACAAGATTCCTGGTAGAGCCAGAAGAGAATGGCTTCTATATGGTACAATTCGAAGGTTTTCCAGGGAAGTCCAGGAGAGCTGGCTGGGTGCAGCAGGAGGCAAGGGAATTACCAGGAGTCAGGCAAACCGGTGCTTCGCAGAGGCAGGAATGATACTGCCCCATGGAGGGCATTTTACAGACAGTGCTGAATTGTGTGAGGCCAAGAAGAGGGTGGAGGCTTCAGAGCAGAGTCCACTTGGGTTTGCCAGGCCCAGGTCAGGGCCCTTTGATCCTTT